ACTCACTCTGAAGGACAGATCAACCAGACAGAAAATAAGTAAGGAGACAGAGGCACTGAACATTAGAGCAGATGTACCTAAGAGACATCTACAGAACACTCCACCCAAAAGCAGCAAGAAACACATTCTTCTCAACTGCACATGTAACATTTTCAAGAATAGATCATATACTAGGGCACAAAAAGAGCCATGGTAAATTCAACAAGATTGAAATTGTACCAACCAATTTCTCAGACCACAAAGGTATGAAACTAGAAATAAATTACGCAAAGAAAATGAAAAACCCCACAAACTCATGGAGGCTTCAAACATACTCCTAAATAACCAATGAATAAATGACCAAATAAAAACAGAGGTCAAGCAATATATGGAGACAAATGACAACAATAATTTGACACAGCAGCGAAGGTCGTGCTAAAATCTGCACAACGCAGCAAAGGCTGTGCTAAAAGGAAAGTATACTGCAATACAGGCCTACCTCAGGAAAGAAGAACAATCCCATATGAACAGTCTAAACTCACAATTAACAAAACTAGAAAAAGAAGAACAAATGAAGTCCAAAGTCAGTAGAAGGAGGGACATAATAAAATAAATTTGAGAGAATAAATAAATAAAATCGAGAAGAATAAAACAATAGAAAGAATCAATGAAAGCAAGAGCTGGTTCTTCAAGAAAATAAACAAAATAGATAAACCCCTAGCCAGACTTATCAAGAAAAAAAGAGAGTCTACACACACAAACAGAATCAGAAGTGAGAAAGGAAAAATCACTATGGACACCACAGAAATACAAAGAATTATTAGAGAATACTATGAAAAATTATATGCTAACAAACTGCATAACCTAGAAGAAATGGATAACTTTCTAGAAAAATACAACCTTCCAAGGCTGACCCAGAAAGAAACAAAAAATCTGAACAGACCAATTACCAGCAATGAAATTTAACTGGTAATGAAAAAACTACCAAAGAACAAAATCCCTGCGCCAGATGGCTTCACCACTGAATTTCATCAAACATTTAGTGAAAACCTAATACCCATTCTCCTTAAAGTTTTCCAAACAGTAGAAGAGAAGGGAATACTTCCAAAGTCATTCTATGAGGCCAGCATCACTCTAATACCAAAACCAGGCAAAGACACCACAATAAAAGAAAACTACAGACCAATATCCCTGATGAACATAGATGCAAAAAATACTCAACAAAATATTAGCAAACCGAATTCAAAAATATATCAAGAGGATCATACACCATGATCAAGTGGAATTCATCTCAGGGATGCAAGGATGGTACAACATTTGAAAATCCATCAACATCATCCACCACATCAACAAAAAGAAGGACAAAAACCACATGATCATCTCCATAGATGCTGAAAAAGCATTCAACATCCATTCATGATAAAAACTCTCAACAAAATGGGTATAGAGGGCAAGCACCTCAACATAATAAAGGCCATATATGACAAACCCACAGCCAACATTATACCAAACAGCAAGAAGCTGAAAGCTTTTCCTTTAAGATTGGGAACAAGACAAGGATGCCCACTCTCCCCACTCCTATTCAACATAGTTCTGGAGGTCCTAGCCATGGCAATCAGACAACACAAAGAAATAAAAGGCATCATGATTGGCAAGGAAGAAGTTAAACTGTCCCTCTTTGCAGATGACATGATATTGTACATAAAAAACCCTAAAGACTCCACTCTAAAACTACTAGAACTGATATCAGAATACAGCAAAGTTGCAGGATGCAAAATTAACACACAGAAATCTGTGGCTTTCCTAGACACTAACAATGAACTAATAGAAAGAAAAATCAGGAAAATAATTCCATTCACAATTGCATCAAAAAGAATAAAATACCTAGGAATAAACCTAACCAAGGAAGTAAAAGACCTATACCTTGAAAACAACAAGACACTCATGAGAGAAATTAAATAAGATACCAATAAATGGAAACACATCCCATGCTCACGGATAGAAAGAATTCATATTGTCAGAATGGCCATCCTGCCTAAAGCAATCTACAGATTCAATGCAGTCCCTATCAAAATACCAATGGCATTCTTCAACAAACTGGAACAAATAGTTCTAAAATTCATATGGTCCCACAAAAGACCCCAAATAGCCAAAGCAATCCTGAGGAGGAAGAATAAAGCTGGTGGGATTATGCTCCCCGACTTCAAGCTCTACTACAAAGCCACAGTAATCAAGACAATTTGGTACTGGCACAAGGACAGATCCATAGACCAATGGAACAGACTAGAGAGCCCAGATATAAACCAAACATATATGGCCAATTAATATATGATAAAAGAGCCATGGACATACAATGGGGAAATGACAGCCTCTTCAACAGTTGGTGTTGGCAAAACTAGACAGCTTCATGTAAGAGAATTAAACTGGATTATTGTCTAACCCCATACACAAAAGTTAACTCAAAATGGAATTAAGACCTGAATGTAAGTCATTAAACCATAAAACTGTTAGAAGAAAATACAGGCAAAAATCTCTTGAATATAAACATGAGCAACTTTTTCCCGAATGTATCTGCTCGGGCAAGGGAAACAAAAGAAAAATGAACAAATGGGACTACATCAAGCTAAAAAGCTTCTGTACAGCAAAGGACACCATCAGCAGAACAAAAAAGCACCCAACAGTATGGAGGGATATATTTGTAAATGACTTATCTGAGAAGGGGTTAACATTCAAAATATATAAAGAACTTGCATGCCTCAACACCCAAAAAAAACAAATAACCCAATTAAAAAATAGGCAGAGGATATGAACAGACAATTCTCCGAAGAAGAAATTAGATGGCCAACAGGCACATGAAAAGATGCTCCACATTGCTAATTATCAGAGAAATGCAAATCAAAACCACAATGAGATATCACCTCACACCAGTTAAGCTGGCCAACATCGAAAAGACTAGGAGGAAATGCTGGTGAGGATGCGAGGAAAGGGGAAACCTCCTACAGTGCTGGTGGGAATGTAAATTAGCTCAATCATTGTGGAAAGCAATATGTAGGTTCCTCAAAATACTAAAAATAGAAATACCATTTGACCCGGGAATTCCATTCCTAGAGATTTTTTTTTTTGGAAAAGTGTAACATTTCATATTTTATTTTATTTTTTATTGAAGTATTATTGATATACTCTTATGAAGGTTTCACATGAAAAACAATGTGTTCACTACATTCACCCTTTATTATCGAGTTCCTCCGCATACCCCATTGCAGTCATTGTCCATCAGTGTAGTAAGATGCCACAGAGTGACTATTTGCCTTCTCTGCTACACTGTCTTCCCCATGATTCCCCCACACCATGCTTCTCCCTCCCTCTTAACCTGCCCTACCCACCTCCCTCCCCTTTAATAACCACTAGTCCCTTCTTGGTCCACTCCTAGGAATTTACCCGAAGAAAACAAGTTCTCAGATTCAAAAAGACATATGCAGTCATATGTTTACTGCAGCACTTTTTACAATAGCCAAGATATGGAAGCAGCCTAAGTGTCCATCAGTAGATGAACTGATAAAGAATATGTGGTACATATACACAATGGAATACTATTCAGCCGTAAGAAAGAAACAAATCCTACCATTTGCAACAACATGGATGGAGCTGGGGGGTATTATGCTCAGTGAGAAAGACAAATACCAAATTATTTCCCTCATTTGTGGAGTATAACAATGAATCAAAACTGAAGGAACAAAACAGCAGCAGACTCACAAACTCCAAGAAGGAACTAGTGGTTACCAAAGCGGAGGGTTGGGGGAGGACAGGTAGGGACAACAGGGAGAAAGGGATTGAAGGGTATTATGATTAGTACACATGGTATGTGTGGGGTCATGGGGAAGGCAGTATAGCACAGAGAAGACAAGTAGTGACTCTGTGTCATCTTACTACACAGATGGACAGTGACTGCAATGGAATATGGGGGAGACTCAATAATATGGGTGAATGTAGCAAACACACTGTTTTTCTTGTGAAACCTTCATAGGAATTTGTATCAATGATACCTTTTTAAAAAAAAATGAACCCTGTTAAAAAAAAAAAGGATAAATGAAGAGGTTAAGGGAAGAATACATGACCCAAAGATAAAACCTAGTATATATTAAAAGGCACAATGTCATAAAACAAAGTCAGAAGAAATCATAGGTGAATATCTGATCAAAGAACACAGACAGAATTTCTAATTTTACATTTAAATTTTTAAATTTTAAAGAAAATGATCACAGAAAAAGACACTAAAAAACTGGTAACCTGAAAGATGAAAAGAACAAACCACAAACAGAAAAAGGAAATGACAGAATGGTCAACATAATTTATAAAAGGTCATATAGAGTAATTTAGAATCACTAATATACAAATAGAAAAATGAAGCTAGTCAAACCATAAAAAGATACAGAAGGAAATGGTTTAAGAATCAAGATCATATATAATAGAACGAAAGTTTCACAGAGCACAAGGATGGGGCCAGCAAAGAGAGAGGAAGGGAACAGTGAAATGGAAAGGAATAGAATTACTATAAAGAAAAATATAACAGGAAATAGCAATTTATCCCTCTGTGAAATTTTAGGGTGTATCCCTCAGTGACATTTTAAACAACAAACCTACTAGAGGAGGGGCCCTGAGAGCTAGGATGCCCAGTCAGTGCTGGTCACAGAGAAAAGCAAAACAGGCTCCAATCTCCATAGAATGTGACCGAATCCTAGAGAAATATCATCCAGACTGCAGAGGAAGCAAGGGAACAAATGCTGCTTCTACAACAGGGACAAGCTCCTAAAGAGTATGGAAGAGCAGCTGAGGATAGCCTGACCCTGCTGGGACAGGAAAAGCAGGAGGTACATGATATAGATGTGCATGTTGTCCTATTGGCTCCATCTGACAATCTTGTTTAGCAGCCATACTCTGAATTCCAACAAGACAGTTATACCATGGTTTACACCTTAAGACACTTGCTAGGTAAAGAACACACAAAATATTAGTAATAGTACCTTAACATATGTAAAAAGCGAAACCATGTCTGTGCAACACACTCATTATCCATTTCAGGAGGGATCAGACTGGCATCTTCATCAGGAACTTTAAATGGAGGAAATGAAGGACCATATGTAAAGCGCAGCAATCTGGAAAATAAAAAAGAAAAGCACACCACTGAGTTCATTTCTTAACAGAATAAAAATATTGTCAAGTATTAAAGTATAAAAAAATACGGTAAGAGGAAATAGATGAAACATGCATAATATTTCACTGAAGTGAAAAAGATAAATGAAAACCTTTGTTTATAAAATTGAAAAACAAAGATTTCTAGTTTTGTAAAAGATGTTTGAAATTTTAAAAGACAACTGCTTGAAATAACTTATTGTCCATAACTCAGCTGTTACATATTTATTTGCTTTATAAGTTATATAATTTATATTATAAATTTATCTAAAGTACTTATATATTCATGTATCATTTAAATTTTATAAATCATAAAATTACTTATAAAATTATTTTATAACAAATTTCACATTAGAAATTTTAATATTTTACTGTATGTTATGTTTATAATGTAAAATTACAAATTATTAATTCAGTTAAATTAAAATTTATAAACAATTGCAATGTAAGTACTAAATTATATAATCATACAATATGCATTATTTATATAATTAGTCTAAGAAATTATATTATTTAAATTATTTAAAGGATTTCTCCTGCAAACTCCTTCAACACAACTAAGCTGTAATTTACTCATAACAGCTGCTTCATAACTTTAAATGAAGTTTAGAACTTATGGTGTACCTTAAAAGCAATTCAATTGCTTAATAAAATAATAATTTTCCAAATGTATTAAAATTGTTTAAAGCTCTATGACTCAATTATTCTACATTTAGAGATTATATCTTAATGAAATAACCAGAATACACACAAAGACTATGTGTGAAGCATTAATATCAGCAATATTTTTTTAAGTAAAACACTAGGAATAATATAAATATCGAAACAACAGGAAAATTATTGAATAGATTATAATACCATTTGTATAACGGAAAGATACAAAGCCATTAAAAATATGTTCTCAAGACCCATTTAAGAACAAAAAAAGGCACATGTAGTTAATGTGATAAAAATCAGCTATCAAATGAGAAAAACAGACATCAGTACCGTAGATTTCAAATTTCAAAAAGAAAACTAAATGTAACAAAATGCATTAAATGTTAACACTGGTTATCTGTAAGTGATGGATATTTCCCCCATATCTTCCAAATTTCCTATCATAAGCATGAATTGATTTTATAATCAAAATAAAAAGGAATATTATTTAAAATAGAATAATATTTATGTTCACCAAGATATATCAGAATCAACAGATTATTCCAAATGTTTATCTTTTAGTTTAAATGATTATAAATATATAAAGTATCACCTACAAATTGTTCCTGCCTCCATACTGCCACCTGCCACCATTCACACCTAAATCAAATCAAGTCTCTATATCTCACTATCATTTGACAAGAAATAAATGGGACAGAGGAACAAGTTAACATAACTAGGAAATAGAAAAATCCAGAATATGAAATACTAAGTAAGACAAACCACCTAGTTCTTCAACAGCAACAAAAATGCAAAGAAATAAAAATGAGAGAGCAGGAAACTACTGTCAAGTAGGCTTAAGGAACAAATCAACCACCTTAACCTTGTTTTCTGATTCAGTGGAATTAACTGTAAAAAGAAAAATTAAGACATTCAAGAAAATTTGAACACTGAATGACTAACTGATATTAAAGAATTGTTAACATTTTTTAGGTGTGATAATGGTATTATGATTATATATTAAAAATAACCATCTTTTAGAGTTATTTATTAAAATACATAGGACTGAAATGAAAAAACAAGTTTGAAAAAAATGAAGTCCAACAGTTTACTCATAGAGTAGTGTTGGTACTAAATACAAATGATAAAAAAGGTAAAATTATTATATAAAACATTGCCTACTTTGGTTATAATGTGGCACATTATAGTATGGTCCCATTTCTGCAAAATTATGTATAAACATATAATAGGATTTTTTGTGAACTTAATTTTTCCTGTTATACCTCTCTATATGGTTTGTATTTTTAAAACAATGATCATGAATATTTTAAAAATCAGAGTAAGAGTGGGATTAGGTGGGAGGGAGAAAGCCCAGATTTGATCTGCTCCCCCAAGATACTTGCTTAATCTGAAAGGTTTTAGATTAGAAAGACACTAGCCAAACTGCTGTATCTGTTTTTTAAAAGTGATTCAATTCTATATCTAAAGTACAATCAGTATTTACAGATACAGGATACAGGCTCTTTACAGTGCATTTCATGAACCCCAGAAAGACAAAGAACTAGGGGAAAGCTGTCTAAGGCCTGACAGCTGAAGGAAGGCAAGTCAATGATGATAACCTACCTTGACGTGAGTGCACAGATGACCTTGCTCCACTGCTCTACCACTGCTGGGTGGTGCCTCCAGTTAGCCACCATCTCCTTGGCCGTTTTCCAGTACGGAGGTGTTGGGAAGCACCGAGTACAAGCTAGTAACCAAACCTCAAAGAGAACACCAATCAACTTCTCTGCTAGATTCTCAGCAATGCCACCTTACCAACAAAAAGAAAACATTCCTTTGGCATACTTACTTTTAAAGTACATTTTTAATTCATGAATTTGAAAGAATTGGTCAAAAAATTAAAATAACTAATGTTACATTTGACTTTCAAATAATCATTTAATAGTATGGACAAAAACTATTCTTAGGAGCTCCTATGAAGGAAATCATGGATTTATCAATCAAGTATCACTTTGAAAGTTTTCAAATAGCCCTGCTTGGTTCTTATCAAAGATCTTTATCTTCCAGCAAGTGGGACAGGAGCACAGAGGGGAGAAGGGAAAGGACAAATGTCTATTATGAATGACTAGTATGAGTCAGTTTCTGTTCCAAGTGGTTCATATATATGACCTCACTTAATCCTCACATAATTCTGCAGGATAGGCATTTATATTACCTATTACCAATTATACTCATCTTTTAAGTGAAAAAATGTAAGCTCAGGAAATTTAAATAGCTTGTCCAAATTCACACAGCAAGTGAAGGAATCAGAACAAATACCCAAGTCTTTTTACCCCCAAACTTCGTTATAAAATGCTTCAGGTGTTTGAATGCTGCTCTTCAAGGGAGATAGCATGGAGCAAAAGGACTGGTGCTGTGCAGCACATAGCCTCAACCAAGAAAACAGAGCTGTTTCTCTGTTCTGAGCCCTGGAAATTAGGGACAAAAGCAGTGGCTGTACTCTACATAGCTCTAGAAGGCAAACTTAGGACTCGTGGGAAAAGTTATACGGATGCATATTTCAAATGAGCAAAAACAAAGTTACAACAATAGTAAGTCCCAGGAGGGGACCAACTGCCTGCCCTGTGCTGCTGAGAGCTCTGGCATGGCAGTGTGTAGCAAAGAGCCAATGAATCAATGACTGGCCAGCTACTGTCAATACCAGAGAAGATACTCCTAATATGGGGTCCCCTTCAACAATGAAATTCTGTGATTCCCTTTAAATAGTTTCCTGGACACTGTTTTGTATGAAAGCAGAAGCCCTGTGACGTGTGTGTTAGTAAAGAGACTACACAGATGAATAAGGAACAAGGGAACTTGGAATTAGCATATCAATGTATAGCATATATATACTGTGCTGTAACATAAAAAGCAGGGCTTCTAAAATATACTCTCAAGTCTTATAAAATTGGAGGCTTTTAATGGCCAAGTCATGAATGGAACACTTCCAAACAGAACACTTTAAGACTTTATAGGTTTCATTTGCTGAAAAAAATATCCTCTGTAGCTAACAAGTTTTCAGAGTCTACTTTGATAACTACCTTGTAATCAGGTACATTACCTACAGGCTCTAATTGGTTAGTTGCTTCTTATACAGGTTCTAGCCTAATATACTAAACAAACTACTGTTCTTACCATTATCAAACATGCATTAATTCACTGAGTCCCTCTCTACATTAGCAAATCATCACTTAAGGTGAAATAACTTAATATGGGCCTTTGAGGGCCTCCATTCTAAGAATTGTTAACCTTGGTTTGTCAACTGTTGTGTGAAAATTTAAATCCCCACTGAATCTACTACTCATTGAGTTTAAATATGAACTGTATTTGGAGCTCAGAAATAAATTAGAAAAAAATAAACAAACCTTGAACAGTTGGCGGGGCTAGAAGTATATCGTTAATCTGCAGAAGAAACAATAGTAAGACTTCCCAGGTTTCTCGGGCCATGATGGATGACTCACGAGCCAGTTTCTGAATGGCTCTCAGGACCTGTAAGCATAGTCTGATCTGACTGGAGCCCTGTTCCTGTCTGAAGAAGACAGATATCATTGATAAGCTTTGAGAAGAGAAAGCAATAGCTTAAGGACAGGTGACTTATGTACACAGCAACCAATGGTCCAGTGACACTCTCTAACAGCATCCTAAGACAGAACTAGTGCACTCCCTTCAGTTTAAAGCCACTTCTGCCATAGTTTGGCAGTCTGGGATCTGAACCCATCACTTGTACGAGAATTAAAAAACTTCTGGGGTTGGCAGAAGGGTGAGTACTAGATTGCAAGCCTTTGGATTTTCTAAATCTAAAATGTGCCTGGTACATAACAGGCACTCAGTAGGTTTCTACTGAATGAATGAATGAATAAATGGCCACAGCCACTTCTGCTGCTTACACTGAAGCAGTATGGCCTTTGTGTTCTTTCTACATTTTTTAAAATACACATTAACAAGAATTCTGAACATGATTTCATAGTGCTGATAGTCCCTTTGAAGCTAATGTCTGCTAGTGAAGGGCCTACAGACCCAGTGGAATATCCTAACAGGTCCCAAAAACTGTTAAGTATGGAGGCAAGTGCCTCATCAATGAGCAACTGCTACAGCTGTTCTAATAAAAAAGGCATCTTAACCTAAGAAGGGGGTTTCAAGGGTTCCCAAGATAACCTAAAACAGTTTTATGACTCTCTTTAGCCTACAGGACCATTTTTCCCCCAAGGAAATAGAACAGATCAAAGTATTGGGGCCAGGGTTGAAAAGGAAGATAGAGGTTGAAGTGCCAGCTCTTACCCTCACTTTCCAAACTGGACCACCTAAGAATTTGGGGAATAGGAAGAAACCTGCACATTAAAAACTGGTGAGCTGGCCTCCAGACCTCCTATGTGAAACTCAAAACAAATACCTAATATTACTGAAATAAATCTTGAGAACAATTTTCTGTACATTATGACTCATGCCACAAAGAACTAGTAAACCATGTCTAAATCAGAGTCGAGAATCTAAAAGCCTCCTCAAGAAATCCAGAATATGAAGTGAGTGTCCTTTCAACTCCTTTCTGGGCCATGACCCAGAAAAACTCATACTTATTCTGGAGTTGCAAACAAGTAACATCACTAAGCTTTTTCTTCACCTAGGAAAAGCCAAGAGCCGCCAAGAGCAGGGAGATGTCCTAAGTTCAGAGGGAGATATCTCGCCCATGTGAAGCCATGAGGCTCAAGCTTGTGTCTGTTGCACTGGCTACTTTTAGAAAAGTAAGAAATTATGTAACATCCACAAACCTCATCTAGCCACTTAAGAAGAAGCCCAGAATAAGAAATAAAAGCACCACTAGTAGACCTGGTGCTGACATTCTTTCAAGTTAGCAGTAACACTGCAAGCCTCCCAAAGGTAACCTAGGCCCTGCGTGCCATTTCCAGGTACCTCCCCAGTGGCAGGAAGGAAACACCTGTTCCTTAGATGCCGTAGCCTCACTTAAAAGGCCTAAATTCAGGAGCAATGTCCAAGTTTTTAAGGCAAAAAGAAACAAGGTAATTGTTACTAAAAAATTAACAGAAAGGTCTAAATACCAGATAATCCTCCCTCTAACTTGTGATCTTCAGAAAAACTGTTCTAAAACAGAGGCCCATGGGTCACATCTGGCCTGCTGTTTTTCTAAATAAAGTTTTTTGGAACACACCCATGCTCATTCATTTGCATACTATGGCTTTCCCTACACCAACAGAGATGACTGAATAGTTGCAATAGACACTGTATGGTCAGCATTTAATCAACACCTAAAGTAATACCAGTACTGCACCAGACACTGTGCAAGCCCACTATATAGCTCCTCAATCTGGTTAGATGGGAAAATGAGACATACACATTTTAAAAGATAAGTAATAAAACAGTGAAGAGATACAAGAGTGACACAGAAAGTACCATCAAGTTCAGAGAAGTTGTAATCACTGTGGGCCTGGACTGTCAGGAAAGACTTCTTTACAAGGCAGAATTTAAGAACAGTTAAGAGTGAGATGTGGATAGCTAAGAGAGAGAGTAGAGGAAGGAAATGACAGGGAAGTTCTTTAAGGAACCTTAGAGGAATATGTTTATGAGGCTAAACAACCAAGGAGCATGCTCATGCAGAATCAGTAGTAGTTAATCTGTTTAGGGAACAGATTACAGCAATTATTTCACTCAAAGTAAGGAGTTAACCTCTTGATCCTATGCAACAGAGTCCTTAATGGAGATTTTTCTTTTTTAAATTCAGATTTTCCTAAGTAATCTTCCTTTTAAATTTAAAAAGCTAAAATTTAGAGTTGATTCAAAGTCCCTCTGAATAAACCAAAAGATCTAACCAGAACTTTTCCAAAAGGAGACAAGCTTCCTTGCAAAAAAGCTAAAAAATTATTTTTCTTTTAGGAAATCCCCACAAATAGGTAGGGAATTAATGCTTTCTTCTCCATTATTTTCTTTTTTCCCAAATTCTTTACAGTGACATATAATTCTTTTCAATTAGGGGGAAAAAACGTAGGTACAAGTAAGGTACATATCCTACATTACATGATATTTAAGGACTTTGTCTCAGAAGATGGGAAAAATCAGTTACAAACTGTCAAGATAATCTTTTGGACTACTATAAATTTGCCCATAATTTCAAACTGCTTACTTCAATGTCTTCATTCTCTCTTAGGAAAAAATCATTTTAAGGTTGAGGGCTTAAGTTGCCTTTAGCTTAAGTGGAGATGAGAATTATGAAAGGCAAAAGTATGTTTTTTTGAATGGAAAGGAAAGGGGTCAATTGTATCTAAAAACTATCAGATCTCAGAAGCAAAGCCAAAAAGGCTTTAAAATGAATATCACCTGTTAAAAATTCCTAGTAAACATTACGTAAGCACATCTCTCCTATCATTCATACTAACACACTCTTTAACTGAACAAGTAATGGAAAGTTACTGTTCAAAGAACAATGAAAACAGCTCCTACAATATAAAAAAGTAACATTTATGAATATTTCGTTATGATCTTGTTAACAGGCCAGTAGATGGACATAGCTTACCTTGGTACAAAAAGATTTTGTAGGTGTTTTAGTATACTTTGAACATATAGATTAGGCTCTTTAATAACTGGCAATGGAATAGAATCTTTCGGCAACACTAAGGCCATAATCCAGTCTGTATATACATCAACACAATATTTTACAGTCTCTCCATCCAATGGAAGAGTCAGTCCATAGCAAATTACTTCCATGGTCCATTTTACCTAAATAAAAGAAAATATACATACAGAATTATCACACACTCCTGTCTATATCTCAGTAGGTTGATTTAAAATCTTAACCTCTTTTATTGCCAAAAACTCTCAACTGACAGCATATTCATCTCAACACATATATCAGATTTATTCCAGAAAATGCACTTTCCATGTATTAAGATATACTGGGACAACATTTCCTAAGCAAAGATTTAAGAAAAAAATTAATTACTTATTTCTAAAAGGCCTATGTTGGCTTTTACCCTTTATACATTATTACTGTTTGCTCTGTGAAACAAAAAGCAAACGTAGGTCATCTTGATTTTCCAGAAATTGGAGGTATAGAAACAGGAAAATTTAGGTATTTTTCTCCATTAATCTGCATATGTATCATTTAGAAAATCATATACATAAATTCAATCACATTCCATTTTCAGATTATGCAGTGTTCACAAACAGAAAGGAAGATGAACTGCTCAACTCTTACTTTTTGACTATTTTCTCTGCCAAAGAAAATAGTATTTAAAATGGAAAGGTAAGAACATATACAGTTGAGGTGTTTTAGTATACTTTGGGTAAGATCTTAACAAGGCATTTGGCTGCTCTAAATGAGTTCTAGCCTCTTGACCCGTCTGAAGCATATCCAAGAGACTGAGAGAACTTGCCTAAGAGACTACTGAACCACTGCCTGTAGTCATGAATGAATAAGGTGTGATGAGAAAGGAAAATAGCCCAATTTGCAAAAGAGATGAAACTAAATTCCAGATACTGTAGATTAGAAAGTTTAAGTGAATTCTAGACAGAACTTTGAGACAAATTACTAAGCAGATCATCAGTGAGCACTCATAAAAGGGAAACATGACTGCTAGGAACCAGCCTACTCAAAAAGAATAAGTCATGCTACAAAAACCACACAAAGACACAAAAAAAGAAAATAACAGAACAATATCTCTGATAAACATACATTCAAAAATCTTCAACAAAATATTAGCAAACCAAATTAAAAAATACATTAAAAGAATCATACACCACAATTAAGTGGGATTTATTCCAGGGATGCAAGGATGGTTAAACATCCACAAATCAATGTCATACACTACAGTAACAAAACGAATGATAAAAATCATATGATCAATTGATGCAGAAAAAGCATTTAATAAAATGCAGCTGCCATTTATGATTAAAAACTCCCAACAAAGTGGGTATAGATGGAATATACCTCAACATAACAAAGGCCATATATAACACATACATAGCTAACATCATATTTAATGGTAAAAAGCTAAAAGCTTTTCCTCTAAGATCAGGAACAAGACAAGGATACCCAGTCTCATCACTTTTATTCAACACAGTATTAGAAGTCCTGGACACAGCAATTAGGCGAGAATAAGAAATAAAAGGCATCTAAATTGGAAAAGAAGTAAAACTATCACTATTTGTAGATTATTTGATACTATATACGTAGAAAACCCTAAAAAATACTCCACCAAGACTATTAGAACTAATAAATGAATTCAGTTGTTACAGGATACAAAATCAACATACAGAAATTGGTACCATTTCTACACACTAATAAACGAGCTATCAGAAAAATTAAGAAAACAATCCCATTCACAACTGCATCAAAAAGGATAAAAACAAAAGTCTAACCAAGGAGGTGAAAGACCTGTACTCTGAAAACTATATTACACTGATAAAAGAAACTTAAGACAGATTTCTTCACACAAACAAATGGTAAAATACACCATGCTCATGGATTGGAAGAAATAATACTATTACAATGTCTATACTACCCAAAGCAATCTACAGATTCAGGGCAATATCCTGAAAACACCAAAGGCATTTTTCACAGAACAAGAAAAATAATCCTAAAATTTGGTGGAACCACAAGATCCTGAATAGCCAAAGCAATCTTGAGAAAGAAGAACTAAGCTGGAGCATCACAGCCCTGATTTCAAACTACATGGCAATCTATAGTGATTAAAATGGTATGATTTGGCATGAAAACACACATAGATCAATGGGATAGAATAGAGAACCCAGGAATAAACCCAAGAATATATGGTCAATTAATCTATGATAAGAGAGGCAAGAATATACAATGGGGAAAAGGCAGTCCCTTCAATAAATGGTGTTGGGAAAACTGGACAGCTACATGCAGAAAAATGAGAATGGACCACTATATTATACTATATACACAAATAAATTCAAAATGGATTAAGGATGTGAATTTAAGACCTGAAACTACAAATCTCCTAGAAGACAACATAGGAGTAAGTTCTCTGACACCAGTCTTAGCAATTATTTTTTGGCCTAGTCTCCTCAAGCAAGGGTAACAAAAGCTAAAATAAACAAGTGGGACTACACCAAACTAAAAAAGCACAGAGGAGATCAACAAAATGAAAAGGCAACTTACTGAATGGTAGAGGATATCTGCAGATCATACATTTGATAACGGGCTAATATCCAAAAAAACATAAAGAATTTATACAACTTAATATCAAAAAACCAAATGCCTGATTAAAAAATGGGCACAGGTCTTGAATAGACATTATTTCAAAGACATACAGATAGCCAACAGGTACATTAAAAGACGCTCAATGTCATAATCATCAGGGAAATGCAATCAAAACCACAATAAGATCACCATAAGACAAAAAATTGGCTATTATCAAAAAGACAAAAAAAACAAGTGTCAGAAGGATGTGAAGATAAGGAGACCCTCTTACACTGTTGGTGGGAATGTAAACTGGTACAGCCACTATAGAAACCAGTATGGAGGTTCCTCAAAAAATTAAAAATAGAACCACCATATGATCCAGCAATTCCAACTTCTGGGTATTTATCTGAAGAAAACAGAAACACCAATTCAAAGAAATATATGCACCCCTATATTCACTACAGCATTATTTACAATCGCCAAGATATGGAAGAAACCTAAGTGTGTATCAATAGATGAATGGGTAGAAAAGATGTAAATATATATCGTGGAATATTACTGAGTCATAAAAAGGAATAAAACTTTGCCATTTGTGACAACATGGATGGACCAAAGGGTATTAGGCTAAGTAAAATAAATTAGAGAAATACAAATATCATATGATTTCACTTACATCTGGAATCTATAAAAACAAACAGATAAACAAAACAAAACAAACAGATTCATAGATACAGGAAACAAACTACTGGTTACCAGTGGGGTAGGTGTTGAGGAGTGGACAGTGAAATAGGTGAAGGGAATTAAGAACTACATACTCCAAGTTATAAAATAATAAGTCATGAAGATAATGAACAGCATAGAGAATATAGTCAATAATACTGTAATAACTTTGTATGGTGACAGATGGTGACTAGACATCATAGGGATATATTTGTAATGTATAAAAAATCAAATCACTATGACTTACACCTGAAACTAACAGGATATTATATGTTAGTTATACTTCAATCAAAAAAAAAGAACAAGTCATGCCAGATAAGCTTCATTCTTTACTAGTAAGGTAACTATAAAGGCGGCTGACAATTCTATAATCCTGGCATTTTTACAAAGCACTTTCACAAGTATTACCTAACCATCAAAATAACGCTCTATGAGAGGGTAAACTATCCTCACGTTTATAGTAAGAAAACTGAAGCTTAGCAAGTTAGGCAATTTGGCCCACCTCACTGGTTTGGAAATGGATGGTGGAGCTGAAAACTGGAACCCTAGACTTCCCACTAGAAATCTGAAGCTATCTTTACCATACCTTTAAGAGCCTTCTCTAGCAAAGGGGATCTGGGATTTAGCAAGAAATTTGGTCAGATATAGAATGTCCTTGTGAATAAGATGACATACAGCCCAGAGGACGACAGATTTGCTGGATTTACAACAAGTGGAAACACCCGATGAGAGAATAACAGTGGATTAATGTACCAAGATAATTTTGGAAGAAGGTGCCCAGGGTGATGACAAAAGCTCTGCTACGATTTTAACTTGGAAAAAAAGAGGAAAACAAATTATATGCTGACCATTTCTAGACATCACAAAGCTAAGAAGGAAAGCTAACTTGATATAAATTTAGGATTCAAAAAAGAATTCTACAGCTTAAAACTAAAGCTGAAGATAAATACATGTATTGAAATTTTTAAGCTCAAAAACAACTCCAAAAACTAAGAATAGAAAATATGTAATGGCAACAGCACAATATAATGTAATATAGTATCATATTAATATATACACCACAGCAATAAATGTTAAAGAAGACTATGACAACACAGTGAAGCTATGACAAATTTTGGAGGGTGACAGGGATTTAGCCATGCAAGAGATAGGATTATAAAATGTTACAAGTCCCTAATCATCAGATGAAAGACAGAAGAAAGTATCTTTGGTGATATCTTCACACACTAGTTTAATTATGTATTTCTAGAAGACACTGGACTCAAGGACTACTCTCTCATATCCTGTTAGGAGTGGGAAAGGAGAATAAACAAGGGCTGTACCAGAACATGTCTATCTACTCACATGCCATCTCTTCCCAGGAGAAGGCAGTAAGAAATTATAGACACACCAAGAGAAGGTGCCAGGGCAAGTACTGGTCCTCAGTGATGTCTCAGACAGGGTACTCTGAAGAAAGAAAAACGCTCCACAAACCAAGGGGCTTTACCTTTCAGCAACACATGGTCTACAGAGAGTAAAAAAACTGCCTCTAAATCTATAAGGTTTATAGTCTTACACCTAGACTAGTTTAGCTTCATATCTAGACTAAGTCTAATCTCTCCTTCATGAAAAATCAAAAAGTAAGGGGAAAAAAGGAGGCCTGAGAAATAGGTTAAGGCCTGAAGGTTATATGAACTTCCTCAAGCATAGCAAACAAAGTTCTAATCCTGTATTTTAGTCAGACCTCCCAATAGCAAGGCTCTGTATCACTTCATTCTCAGAGCCCCTTCGTGATTCCCCATTGACACCCTCCAGCCCAGTACCCTGAGTCCCAGAACAGGAACAAGCTCCCCAAGAATACTTTATCTTTATGATATACAGTCTTATAAAGGTTTCACATGAGCAACATTGTGGTTTCAACATTCACCCATACTATCAAGTCCCCCCCACCCCATTGCAATCACTGTCCATCAGTGTAGTAAGATGCTACAGTCATTACTTGTCTTCTCTGTTCTGCAGCACTCTTAACTCTGGAAGTCAGCTAAGAGTAGGCAGGGATGGAGACACAGGAGAACTTCAAGTTCAGCACGTATGTGTAGCCTGAAAACTTAACTCAAGATAGGCTTTTAGTCAGAGGCCATCTAGAGATAGCAAGGAACACCTTCCAAACATACTCTGAGTAGAAATCTGAAGACTAAGCCTAGAGCTTAGAGGGAAAGGCCTCACACTCAAGTCTGTCTCGACACACAGCTCAAATGAAGAATTAGGTCTGGCTAGTAGGAAGTCCCAGCAGCATAATGGTACAACTGTTTACTTATAACCTCCCACAAACTCCGGGCCCCAACCCTCAACCCAAATAAGGCCTAAATTGAGAAGTCACACTACACTGGGCAGAAATCCATCAAAAAGCCATAATTAAGTAAATTCTTCAGTAACAAAATTGTATTTATCATATAGTAGAATAAAAAGAAATACTTACTTCTTTGTCAGTTTTTAACAAACACTCACTACCAGTCACTGAAGGGGTACCTAAAGCCAGCCCAAGAGGATGGACCACTGCATTTGCCACCTCTCGCCCAACACTCTCTGGATAGCTATGCAGCACACTGGTGTGGCCCTGATCATTCTGAATCACCAAATGCAGTGACCTCCACTCAGAGTACATCATGCCACTAAAGGACTATCCAAATGGCACCTGAAAAGATAAAAGAGAAATTACTGTCAAATTACACTGTTGCAAATTAATAAAAATGAGTAAAACACATATACACGTATTTACCCTATATGGCAAGATAAAGAACTTGCAAACATGCTGTCAACAAGACTGAGAAAAAAAACACATATAAATGTTTTGAGAATGTCCAAACATAGCTTCATGGTGACATCAGGTAGAAAGGCAGACTCGGGGAAGCAGCTATCTGAGCAACTCCCCAAAAAGAGCCCTCAGAAGCCTGAGGTGGAGCTGGAACAGACAGCCATTGTGCAGTCTGTTAAAATGACAAAATGATCAGATTTGATACACTCACAGCATAAGAGAATCTTTCTCATTCTATACTCTAGGACAGAAAAAGAAAGAATGGAGTACTCTAAGTTAAAGAAAGGGAGACAAAGGAAAGAATATAATCTAAGATCTAGATTTTTCCATCAACAATTTCTGAGCACCTATTACATGCTAGAAACATACCCCTGCAATTTCCCACCAGTGTCCTCAAATCAGACATAAAATTCTCTGAGAATATTTCATTCCCTCAGCAGTGGCATACAAACTTCCAATAACAGAAAACCTGGCAGTCACCATGTTTACCAGAAAACGTGTTAACAGCTGCCACCTACTGACAATTTACTACAAGCTACTCATGCAAGCATCAAAATTCTATGAATATTAAGTAACGTTATCTCTATTTCACAGATGAAAAAACTGAGGCATAGAAAGGTTTGCTTCTTACCTGAGGCTTCAGAGCTATAATGTGGTACAGCTAGGTTTGAACCCACATCTTTGGGGCTCCGGGGACAATGTTTTTCACCATGGCATGTACTGCCTCCCTCTTTCCTATACATTCTCCATGGTATGTACTGCTTCTCCCAATGTTGTATATTCTTCATGAAATGCTATCTAAGTCTACCAAACAAGAAATTGTAGCCACAGAAAATGTATGTATGAATGCAATGTAAGTATGACAATCATAAATGCCATACTCATAAAGAGAATTGAGGATGGTTTTTTACTTTTTTACTTGTTTTCTACTTGGTGTGAAATGTTTGCCCAGCCAGCAGAGTTTAAGCAAAATACATAGATGTACTTAATCTTAAAAAAGTTCTATCCCTTAAGCTAATTTTTCTTCAAACTGGGAAGAGACTAACATTGTTTAACTTTATATTAGAAAACCTATTCCAGCTCAACAAACATCAGCGTTTTTCAAGAGGGTTTTAGCATTTGAGAATCCTAGCGGGCCTACAGAATGAAGATCAAACTCCTAAGCATGAAAGTCAAAGTCATTCACGGACTGGTCCCAAACTACCTTTCTCTCTCTTTCCCATGCAGGGGAACCTACCACCTTCCTTCCCACTTCTGCACACACACCCTCAATCCTACCCAATCTTCTCAGCTTCTTTTAGAATCTAATGGACTCTGGGCCCAGGTACCTTTCAGTGCCCCTATGAGGTCTATGTCCTCCTCCTCTGGATCAAGAGGCCCTGAAAATGGGAAGGCAATAGGGATGGACCAGAATCTAACAAGGAACTTACAATTTGAAGGAAGGGTGGATGCGACTATTTAAACTGTCTCTGTTTCTTCAGGATTTATAAGGAATTTCCCCAAGGATACCTTGGTGCCCCCCTACCCCTGCAAAATAAGCACTCTAAAAAACAGAAGGGGAAAAGGGGAAGCTCTGATAGGGAGCCACCCCCATGAGATGACATCTTATTCCTACCCCACGCATTTTTTTCTCACTTTCTTTTATTAACACACATATATACATATAGTGCATATATATATACACACATACATACACTATATATATTACATAACTTCCTAAGATATCATACTTTAGGGGTTTTTTGTTCTAGTGTGCTTTCTTATCTTTTTCACTTTTTGTTTGGCTTCATTCCATCTCCTTAGACAAGATAACCCATATCAACAACCTAACATTTCCTCTCATATTTGTTCCACACTATTTAAAATAATTTACATACTTGCATGAAAAGAGAGAGTATACTTTTCTATATATTGCTTTTTTCTCATTCAGCATTACCTCATGAATATCCTTCTAACTAATAACAGATTCTTTTTAATGGCTGTAAAATATTCCACGGTATGGTTGTAATATAATAACCACATTGTGGTTATTCAACAAGTCTCATGTTATGCATTTATTTCATTTCCCATTTTTTTGTCACCAGGAAATAACACAAAAAACCATGCTTGTTCATATACTCTTAAGCAGCGGCCTTTTAATTTCTACAGAACAAGCCCCCAAGGAGTGAAACTTTTGGGCTGAAGGGTACATATATTTCTAATGTTAATAATTAATGTCTTGCCATACTGCTTCCCAAAAAAGCTATAATAACTCACGTTTACATTAGGAATGGATGAGAGCCCTTCCCTCCTCTCATTCCCCATCTCCTGCCAGGAATGAGCTTGCTTCCTTTCTCTTTCTTTCTTTGCTAATTTGAAAGGTATGGAGTGAAATTTCATTGTTCTAGCCAAATATTTACCTTTATTTTATAGCTTCTAGTTTTTAGTCTGCTTAGGTGGTTTCTCCCTCCATCCCCTTCTATCAGCATTTTTCAAACTGTGGGTCATGGAATACATGTAATGGGCAATACTCATGTTTTTAATTATATGAAATAGGATATACAATAGAAGCAGCACACATAGTAAAGGTAAGCAATGTCCTAAGGCATCCAACAGCATAGGAGGATATATTCATACATGACTCCTCTGACAAGGGGTTAACATACAAAATATACATAGAACTCACACACCTCAACACCCAAAAAACAAATAACCTGATTAAAAAATGGGAGGAGGACCTGAACAGACACTTCTCCAAAAAAGAAATACAAATGACCAACAAGCACAGGAAAAGATGCTCCACATCACTAATCACCAGAAAAATGCAAATTAAAACCACAATGAGGTATCACCTCACACTAGTTGGAAAGGCCATTATCCAAAAGCCAAGAAACAACAAATGCTGGTGAGGATGTGGAGAAATAGGAATCCTCCTACACTGTTGGTGGGAATGTAAATTGGTGCAACTGCTGTGGAAAGCAATATGAAGGTTCCTCAAAAAACTAAAAATAGTAATACCATTTGATCCAGCAATTTCACTCCTAGGAATTTACCCAAAGAAAACAAAATCCCTGATTTGAGAAGATATATGTACCCCTATGTTTAATTGTCACACTATTTGCAATAGTCAAGATATGGAAGCAACCTAAGTGTCCATCAATAGATGAATGGATAAAGAAGACGTGGTACATAAACACAATGGAACATTATTCATCCATAAAAAGAAAAGAAATCCTTCCATTTGCAACAACATGGATGGACCTAAAGGGTATTAATGCTCACTGAGATAAGCTAGGTGGAGAAAGACAAATACCATATGATTTCCCTTACTTGTAGAATATAAAAACAAAGCAAAACAGAAGGAACAAAATAGCAGTAGACACTGAGAAGTGACTAGGGGTTTCCAAGGTGAAGAGGTTGGGGGGGGGGTGATAAAGGGCACAATAATTCACAATCACAATGTAAGCTGATCACAGGGACTGTTGTACCACTATGATGTATGTTTGAAACCAACATAAGATTGTATATTAATGAAACTTTAATAAATAAATAAATAAATAAATAGGAAAAAAAGGTAAGCCATGTCCTGTGAAATTTGTTTCACTTTTTAAATAGGCACATGTTCCGGGTCACAATGTAAAATACATTATACGTCTAGGTCCAAAAGCTTGAAAACGTCACCTTAAACTGTGTATGTAGTCTCCTAGATTGCCACACAAAATAATTAACTGTTCACACTTGTTTTATGTTCATATGGAATTTACTTATATAGTAAAAAAGGTCCTATTTTATTTTCTTCTAGATGTCATGTGTAAGCAACACCTATGAAAAATACATTCTTTTCCACTGAATTGAATTATCAATTTTGATATATATTAAATTCTCATTAATAAAGGAATTTATTCATTAATGTGTTCAACTATTTGTCTACTCCTATGCCAATGTCATAATGACTTAAATTCAGAGGCTTTATATAATATTTTCTTATCTTGAAAGTCCCCTCCACCTCTATTATTCTTTTCAAAGTTTTATGGCTATTCTCAGACCAGTATATTATATATGCATTCTTTCATATAAAATTTAAGATTATTTATCCAGTGAAAGAAGAAAAAAAACCTTGCTAGAATTCTAATTGAAATTGCTTATCCAAGGAAAAAAAACCCAAGAAACAAAAGAGAAGGCAGTGGAAATCACAATCTTCAAATAATGTATTCCACTCTTTTCTCTCATATGTATATACCTATACTCTTTTCTCTCATGTGTACATACAATTATATATCTTAATAAAATTTTAAACATATTGAAAAAAAAAAAGAAATTGCTTATTCCATCTTCCCAGCCTTATCTTCTGCCACTTTCCTACTCCCCCATACCCCAAGCTATGGCCACAAAGAACTGGTGATCGTTCAAACCAACAAGTTTTCACACCCTACATTACTGCTCATGCTACCCCCACTGACTGAACTGCCTTTCCTCATCTTGATTCACCTAATGAAGTACTAATCCTTCAAGGCACAGCACAGATGTCCTCTCTTTGCTAAACATTTTGACTCCTCAAATCACCCCTCCTCCTCAGCTTTGAGTGCCTGTTACAACCTGTAAGTATTGAGCTTCACGCTAGCTTATATGTTAGCTGTATGTATAAAAGTATCTTCACCACACCTTTCTTGAGTGGAAACCTCACTTTCTGAATCTTTAGTAGTTCCTGGCACACAAAGATACTTAGCAAATGTTTCAGAATGTCAAGGTTTACCAATAGGAAAAAGAAAGATGTCAGAGGGTGGTCACTCTATTCCATTGAAATGTGTTCATAATTTTGCATGCCATATACAAATAAAAAATGAAAAATGTCCATTTATTTTAAACCAATTATTAGTTTTTTAAAAAAGTAGTTGGATGGC